ATGGAGAAATAAGAGCAGACTATTTCAGGCAGACAAAGGTTCAGTGTGAGGAAAATTGAAAATTGTTTCCCATCTCCACTCATGACAGATCAGAAAGAAAGGCGGGGGGATTTAATACAAGCTATCACTGCGGGTCACCTGAAGACCTCTGGTTCTTCCTTATGTTGGAGGCAGGCTTGTGCTCTCAGGGCTTAGCCTAGCGATGGGAGAAAAAGAGTACAAGTGGAAATTCCCCTCCTTTCCTCTGGCAACAGCTGGAAGTAACGGAGATAGCTGTCATTAGCATTTATTAATATTAATAATTATAACAGCATTGACAATAATGCTGACCTATGACATGTGAGGTACCATCTGGGGGGCTTTGATTCATATAATCTTTGCAACCTGTGAGACACATACCCCACTTCTGTCCTCATTTTAGAAATGAGGAAACAGGCCCAGAAGGTGTAAGTAAGTGAGGAAGCCTCCGCAGCTGGTGAGCTCGAAATCCAGAAAGTCTCATTCCAGCACTCTGGCTTTTAACTAGCACGTTGCACTGCCTGATGTTCTTGCTCCACGAACATGCTACCAGTAATAGGAGCAGCAAAAGATTCGGGGGAGGAAAAGCCTCTGAAGGAAAGCCTCTGTCAGTAACAACAGCTCTTTCAATACCTGCATGATCTTCGGTCACTTACATGTTTTATTCCTGACTTTTCTCCTGTAAAATGTAGATTGTGCCCCATGTTTTCCTCCCAGGATAGCTATCGAGGCCAAATCATATAATGGGTATGAAAGCAATTTGAAGATTATAAAGCAGGGTTCAAATGAAAGGCTTGACTAAGAAATTGATATTCCTAACTAAAACAATCAACATTATTAATATCAGTTTATTAATAAATTATACTGCAGTTGTTTCATTTTATGAGTGTAACGTAATGTTTCTTTTTTTTATGTCAATGACTTAACTCCCCCTCTGTTATAGAAATGCCACCTCTTCCAAGGAAGCTTGTTCTCTGGCGGCCTGAGCACGTGATGCTCAGACTTTGATCCTGAGTTTGTTAGTTTACATAATTGTCCTTTCCAGTAGATGGTGAGTGCATAGAGGTGGGTGTTATTTTCTATTAGATTTTATAGGTCTCAGCAGAGAGCTCACTACATAAACACATAAAAAATGATGGAGAAAAGATATAATCCAAGAAGACAGTGATTATATCTTCCATATCTTTGCTCCTATATTTTGTCCAAGTCTGTTGTTCTGGTAAAGGAGGTAGTGGACTGCTGTATAAATAGATTTAATATCTAACATTTAATACAACTGGCACATCGCATTGCCAGATTAAAAAGTTTGAGTTGTGCAAATCTATTCTGAAAAGCAAGCTCCAGTCTGACAAGAGCAAAAGTAGAGTAAATGAGGACTGTGGCCATAAAGCAATGGCACTGATTTTTACTTGTGATTTGTAAAGTCAAGTTTAGTATTTTACAGTAATACCTTAGAAATTAAGAGGCTTACCTAGATGGCTTTACTTTAGTAAATCATATGTAAAAAGAGAGCTGAGTTTTTTTCCTGAAGATGTTGTTATAAACAAAATGTGGCTTTCTGAAAGATAGACTGTAAACAGGTGGCACTGAATGAATTAAAAGTGCATTCTTCAAAATAAACAATATGGGCAGAAAATATGGTATATGCCAGAAAACAGAAAAGAAAATAATATGAATGACTTCAAAGTATTGTGAACAGGACATGTCCGATATTAAACTAGTTAAAATCAGTTATGCTGAACATATTTATGAAATAGACTAAATAGCTTAAGAGCAGAATTCCCATTCATAGAAGATGTTTACTTTAAGCTTCTGATCTCATCACTGAACAAATACTTAAGTTTATGCCAAAATTATATTCACATTCTTAGAAACTGGCAATAAACTGCTCAGCAATACTCCTGCCTGAAAAATACCCATGCATCTAAATTCACTTAAACTGACATAAATAATAAAAGTTAGGAAATGCTAAGAAGACTTTGAAGGGTATATCATTACGCAAAATAACATGAACATATCTGCATGTCAAACAATGATAGAACTACACTCCTAACTTAGTTCTAACAGGAAATGGGGTTCAAAATTCAAATTCTTAATTCTTCATACTCAATTCAAGAGTTTATAATCTTACAATCTATGCCTGGGGAAAACATTTCTTAAAATACTATTACAAAACTAAAGTGTAACTTGTGGTATTTTTTTTACAATGTCATTTACCTGAACCACGTTACTGCTGAACTAAGGACTGATGGGTTCAGGGTATTGGTACTACATACTTGGTATTAACATGCTTAGTGCTGTGTATACAAATGTGAAATTAGTCCCTGTGAAGGCTGTATGGCTGAAAATAGCACTCTATAATATTGATAAAACTGTCTTCCATGCATCATCTCAGCATGAAAAGAAAAATTCTGTAATCACAACAGAACCGGGGCTCTGCCTAGGGCCCCCTCCTAAGTGTGAAGAGCGTGGGTACAGCTCTAAGGGGCACTGCTGCTTCCTGCGCCGGCCCCGCCGTCTTCATGGTGACTCACTACGTGCTCTGACAACAGTGTGTGTAACTGTAGCCAAAGTGTTGAGGCCAAACTCCCAGTTCTGGAATCACGGAACACATGGAAAAAATGAACAATCACAGAGGACATTTTTTATACCCAGTAATTATATTATCAGGTAGTTAGCAAGTGGTAAGGACCAGGAGCACTGGATTCTAGGGTAATTAATGGCTAATCCACATGGAATAGTGAAGAAAATCTGGGTATCCCGATATCCCACAGGGAGTTTTGGGAAATTCAAGATTACACAAGATGATGTCACTTCAGAGGTTAAAGACATGTGCCTTTTCCCCTAAAGTTTTTGCAAATTGGACTATAATTTTAACATACATTAATTCTTGATGGCTTTCATTGGTCTATAAACATCTGTGTAAAAATAAAATGTAATATCCTTGAGAAGGAAATCAGACTGAACTACCTTTGACTATCTCTCCTGGGATGGTGCACACATATGTATATACTCAAACACACTCATGCATACACACAGAGACACACACAATCACAAAACACATACGCACACATATATCTATTTATTTTTCAAACTGCATTATTTCTTGAATGTCCACATTGAACCTTCCCTAATTTTGTCATTAGTTGCTTGTGCCTTCTCACACATTTTTAAGGGAATTTTCTAGAAGTTTTACATCATTAGCTTGGCATTTAATTGTTCATCTCAAAGTGGTCTTGGTGTCTGTGAGCAATTTTCAATATTCCAAAAATCCTAAGTAAACTCCTATATCATATTTCATTAAATATCTCACTTGTAACTTGAAGGTTCACTTGAAGTTCTCAGACCTCCAGGAGTCCACAAAGTTGTAATGTTGATTTTTTGGGGTGAACTGAAATAGCAATTTTATTGTCCGTAGTGTTTAAAAAATATTTAAGAAATTATAACATCACAAAATCCATCTCTAGGAAATTCTGTCTTTTATAGTGTTTGGTTCAGAGAGGGGTTTGGACACCTACAACTATGTCAGTAAACACACCAGACAATAAATTCTACCCTTTGTCCTGTTAAATGTCCCAACACCCCCCATGCAAAGCTGTTCATGTGTAACACTTAATAAATCTTCATTAGCTATATGGACAGTTATCACAAAATTAAAGTTTCTTTAAAAATTAATCTAAGACTACATAAATTGGCAGAATTCAGAAAAGCAAGAGATTTTCCTAGGCCCTTACCTGACTTTTACTCCTATAACTCAAAATGCTTAGATCCTCAGTGGATCTATGAAGTCAGAAGTCAAGTCAGATGTAGTATTACTATAATATCTCCAACCAGTGCTAAGGGACACGTAATACAAATTCAACAAAGCACATCGTGGCTCAAAACCTCCTTATCTAATCTTTAAGTGAATAACATCTTGTTGCCTGTCACAGTCAGAAGTCCCATTTGCAGCTCCAATGGACGAATAGTAAAAATAGCACTGGATCAAATATGCTTTTATACAAGGGGATTTCTCCGGTCCCCTGGTGGCAACAGTAACTGTTTACTTCACTGTACACAGTCTCAGGGAGTTCCTAACATACTGTACTGGTGTCTGATATCAGGGACTCCTCCACCTTCAGCAGAGGTGGAAAGTAATCTCTGTGCCCAAATAGGGCTCATTTCACACGGTGTTGAAATGTAGCAATACAGTTACCAGAATACTTTTTTCCAAATTTTTGTTGCAATGTCATTTTTTAAATTTATATTTCAAACAAAAGCATGATAGAGCATGCTTTCATTTACTTTACATCACATGCATGCAGTGTGCTTAATGTATAAACTTGTACCGAAATGTCTTCATTATCTCCACAAAAACTAAGCTGTACATGTGTGTGTGTAAATGTGCATTAAATAAATTGTATAAAATACTCAAACCGTATTATCTAACATGGTTAGATATGTATAGGCATTATAATCTAAATTAGGTGCTTGAAACTACAGAATCACAGAATTACTACTGTAACATCTTTTACTTGACTTTCTTTAAAACAGTGGTAAGGATCATTAATTATATATCATTATGTGTATATATATTTCATTTCCTTTTATATCCACTTAAATTTACACTTTAATTATTGTGATTGTAGATAAGCTGCACAATTAAAATAGTGAGCACTGCTCAGGACTGTGGAAGCATATAAAGGTCACAGGACATCAGCTGGGTAAAAGGCACCATGTGACTCCTCATTAAGTAGAAGTGTTTACCTTTCATTTCCTGTTAGATGCTTTTCTAAAAAGTAAATTAGCATTTATTTTTAGCTTATGGACCACCCAATAGAGCCCACTTTGCAAACTCTGGTGCTGACATAAAATTATTTGGGACCAAGTTAGGCACAATAGTAATTAAAGGTGAGAGAAGAAAAGAGAGAAACCTTAGGATGGAAGAAAAAGTGAAAAAGGAAGGGAGGGGCTTTCGAAAGATTCAAAGAACAATCACCTACCAGCTCTACTCGTCCGAAACCTCCAACTCCAAGGGTGTCAATGATGTTGAAATCAGACAGCTTCAGGTTGGCGAAGAAAGCAGCTTCAGCTTCGTATCTGGATTTTTTGATGCGAAAAAATGGAAATTTCTTAGAGGTGCAAACACGAGTACCACGTACAACGGTAGTGGAATGACATGACTGTGGAACAGGGTTTACCTGCTTACATTCCATCTTGCTTTTAGAGTCTGTGTTTTCTCACACTCATAATGTTTTGGTCCCAGTGGTGCAGAAAAACATAGATTTGCTCTTGTTTGTCAAAGGAGAAAGATACAAAGTACCCACTGCATGCCCGTCCTGTGACTGATAAATCCCAGTTATCAAATCAAAGTTACATCTTGGCCTTTTTCTACGCGTCTTCTTGTGAGCACGGGCTGTTTGAGTGGCTCTTGTGGTGAGGTTTTGGATTTGGGGGGGGTGTTGCTCGCTTTTGTTTTTGCTGTTCAGATTTTGGATGGCAGTTCTCATTCGTTTCCCTTATCCACGGGGTGGCAGTGGCTCCTATAAATATTTGCTAAAAGCAGCAAGATCATTGAGGTCTCTGAAGTGAAATCACAGCCAGGTTCTATGCAAACAGATCCGAAGAGCTGAGGCCTGATGTGCCAGTGTCTGAAATGGATGGTTTCGGAAGCATATTCACATTCCTAAAAAGTGTCTTCCCTTCGGTTATGTTAATCCACTGACTCTCGGCTAGTAATCCCAGTGTCTTTATGTTTGCAAGTTTCTTATACGAGTGGGGTGGGAAAGCATGGACCAGGCTCCAAAAGTCTAACTGTGCACACATGCAAATCTGACACATGCAAGTGGCCAAAATAAGCTTCTCCTGATGAGACAAGTGAATGTGAGCTGCTTAAAATATCTCCTTGTTAAAGGCCCTGCTATTTTTAGAAAGGGCAGGAAGGCATAAAGATGAAGATGATCCTCCCACCCACTCAAGTCAGGTCAGGGAGTAATTCAGCTGTCTCAAAAATAAAGTATTTGAATAGCTATGTGTAACCCATGACCTTCAGCCAGGCGGGACCTGATTCAGTATTGCGCTATAGATAGATATGTTGAACACGCTGGAGATAATCATACCAACACAGCTTGTTTATGCCAATTTTAAGATAGAATCATCCACAGGCATGTCTGGAGTTAAGCTGTAGAACATTTTAGCTATTCCGTTGCAACCAAACACAAATTTAGACTCTCCACAAGGGAGAAATGTGAAACAGCTTTCTAGGTGGGCTTTCAACATTCTCCAGTTTACGACCATGGTCTAGTTTTTAACAAGTCAATTCTTGGCAGATTCATGAGAAGGCAAAAACAGCATTGTTTTTCATTATTGGCTGATGGTGTGAAATTAACTCCCTCTAACAAAGCTTTATAAACAAGACTACTGGTCAATCCTAATGGTATTTGTAAACTTCCCTCAATACACAATCAAGAGATCAATAGAGTGATTCGGGAGATGGTTTTCTAGAGTGGAACATCGGCAGCAAATGTGCATTTCTAGCATTCCAACTGCATCACTACTTTTGGAAAATTAAAACTCCATCCCATTTAAAGGACCAGTGGCAGAGTTCATTCCAACAGGTGTTTACAAAGGACATCTGTTGGGATCAGAACCCATTACAGTTTGTCTGCGGTCAAGCATTTGTTAATGGTCCAGAAAATCAAATTAATGAGATCATTTTTAATAATATCCTATGCATTTGCTGGATTTAGAATCTCAGATATTAAGAGGGTAAACTCAGACTACTTTGATACTATTTTAGATATATAAAGTATGATATTATTACTTATAGCTCTTGAAAACACCCCAAAATTTTTACATTTGGGCTCTGTGAAATTAGGTTGGAAAGTTCTCTAATCAAGTGATCTTCAGCCTTTTGTTGCGCATCAGAACTACCTGAGCATCTTTTAGAAACCACTTAATTTGGGTCTGACCAAAGACCGAGTGTATTAGAAATCTCTGGAAGCAATACTCAAATGCCTGTATTTTTTTAAAGCCCATCCGGTGATTCTGATGCACTGTCAGGGTTGAGAACCATAGTTCTAACCCCTGAAGACCCTCAAAGGTTCCAGAAACCATAGAAAAATTTTGGGGTGGATTAAAATGGTCCAGGGAAAACAGTAGTGCCTAGTGAGTCTGGAGGTGATGCATTCATGCCAAGAGTGCTGGGACTCTTTTAACTTGGTCTTGGCTCCTGACTTTCTGGATATAGTCCCATAGGAATGAACAATACGTCTATAATGGCTACCACAGCTATAAATAAGCAAGACTGCTAACAACAGCAACAATGCACCAAAAAGGCAGATACAGAATGCAAAAGTCAAACATTATGGGATTACTTTGTGTTCACATTTTTACAGCAAAATCCTCTTGACTTTGTTTATATTCACCACCTGATCACTGATCATATTTTAACCAATGGGATGAACATAGGAAGTCTCCTGTTAAATAGTTGACATTTTCTCCGCAGCTATTAAAATCCACTTAAATACATACTGCCCCATACACTGGAAGCACTAATTAAATATTTCATATATTTTAATGAAAAGAGATTGCTAACATTGTAATTATATTGCTAATCTTTGCTAATTACTTTGTTAACATGACTCGGTGAATTTTTAAAATACTACCTGGTTGGATGATTTAATCTAGTGGTGGGTGACATACAGTTTAGAGGGGCCTTGGGATAATTGTGGTCTTGATCATTTGCTACTGTCAGAGAAGTTTCTCTTTTCCAATTGAGGAGACATTTGCTAGTTGTTGAATATTTTATATGCACATTTTCCTCATTTAAATTACTCTTTACAGATAACAGCCACATTTTCGTCACAAAGACTCTGTATACTTTCCTTTCTGAATTAATAACTTTTATTTTTAACATGGAAATCACCACCTCTTTTGACAAATCATCAGTTTGTCAAAAAGCTGAACTATGGATGACTTCGCTTCTTTAGGTATCTAACCACTTTTGCTCATAACTTGGAGGGATATTTTCATTTTCTTTTAACTCGGGAATTATTTGTAGATCATTTGAATCCATCAGTTATGTCCTACTTTCTTTAGAGCTGATAAAAGTTTGAGTGGAGGAGATTAAATAAATTAAGTAAATGGCCATTGTTTCATTAAACAAACTTCTTTTGCCTGAAGGAGGTAAATGTGGAACCAAAGTTCCTAACTTACTACTGTGGGGTATCAGGTCCAAGGAATTAGGACAGGCTTCATGCATTTCTAAAATCCATCTGTGCAACAGTGTTGATGGAAGGGACTGTTGCCAAGTGCTAAGGAAAATACATCAACAAGAAGTAACAACTCCTGTTGTTTGGTTGCTTAAATTCTAGCAAGGAGAATAAAGTATATTTTCTAATGATCCTTAACTTAGTTTGAGATACTGATTTGTTAACATTTTGTTTGTTTCTTTAGCATGGGGTGAAAGGTATGGATACTCTTCCCAGAAAAATGCAAATAGTGACATACCCTTTCTGCATGTAACAACAGAGCTTACAAACTCCTAAAATAGGTTCATAACAAAAATAGCTAAACAACAAGAAAGTAAGTGTATTGGATGCAGGAGACAGATACCATATTGTTTCTCAAACATGCCTGACCGTAAGATTCACCTGGGGCTATGGTTATTAGAATCCACAGACAATTGCTAATCCATACAGGGTACTCTTTAAATAGTGCAACACTGAACTTGTCTTTGAAGAATGGCTAAAGAGGAACAAAGCTGCCTAGAACTTCACCTCCTATTTATTTCTGCTTGTACACCAAAGGAGGTTCCAAGAGCCATGAAAACGTAAACTTGCAGATGTAAACATGATGGCACCAAGATGTATCTAGCGTAGTAACAGGAAAAAACGGACTAGAATAATTTCAATCTCTTTCTAAAACTACACACAGTATTATATTCAATTCCTTTAGGAAACAGATAATAGCCATTAGGTTTTATTTTCTGCTATCTCTTCCAATATTACCAGCTTCCACAAAACCAGGGGGTAAGAGTCAGGTGTCCTTTATTTTCAGCACAGTAGTTTTTCAGTCGCTGCCAGGCGCCCATGAGCCAATGCTGTCATCATTGCTAAGCAACAGAATCGAGTTCTATACCTTAAGACTGACCGTTATTATGAAGAAGTGAACATTTCTCCCTATATATTGGAAACCAAATATGATGATTCAACCTGGTGCAAAATGTATGAAGCTTAAAATTTTACCTTTGCCTTGCTATTATGATCACAGAAATCACTCAGCATTATTTTGCAAAGCAGACAATATTAAAGTAGGGGCCAAGGATCCAAAAGAACATAACAGTAGTTCCTGATGGGTTACAAAAGCCAGTGATTAAAAGCCAATGGAATAAAAGGCTAATATGGGCCTGTTGGCTTTAGCCCCGCTCATCTACAATCCAAATGAGCTTCAGCAGTCTACTCGAAGAGTCTCCAAGGAAAGCCAAATAAATTACTAGCATTTCCTAATCCACATGTAAATCAGTTACCAAGGTCTTTGCCTGGGCTCATCTGCTCTGGGGTGTACTTTTATGTCCTGTTGAGTTTAGTTTTGTCAGTTTTGGGGGAAATCTACAAAAATAAAATGTTTCAGTGAACACCCATGGCCTCTCGTCTATGATTAAGTTTTTTATTCTATTGCTGTAACGGGTAAGATGAGATTCAATCAGATAATCTCTACTCTGGACTTTGAAATAATACAAGAGAGCATCATAGCATACAGACAAAAGCTCATGGCTTGTGGTCCTGGCTCTTGTCAATGATTTTGTGCTTCCAAGTCCTGCTTTCCTCAACGTTTAGGCCTTTGTAACAGTATCGACAAACATATACTTCAATAAATAAGTGTAGATTGTTTAAGTCAGAATCCCATTTACTTAACTGTTCACATCAGTGTCTAAAAGTTCCCCTTCTCTTTTTGTTATCAAAGAGCACTAAAGTCTATAAATAACTCCTTTTAACTATTTCTCTAGATGTTTAAGAATATACACCTGAGACTAATAAATATTGTATGTCAACTGTAACTGACAAATAAAAATTAAAAAGTGGGGGGAAACTTTCAGA